AAAAAAAATGGAAAAAGAGGAAAAATCGCAGATAAGAAACAAAAAATATTCAAAATTTTTCACACTCATTTTGAAGAAAATCTTTTCGGTGATTTCTAAAGAAAAAAACAACAAAACGGTGAAATAAAATTATTTTAAGAAATCACAGTATGCCACTAATAGACCCAAAATTTTGATCTGTTTATGAAGAACATACTGTCAATGTTTTAGGTTACACTGATCATGCTAAAAAGTTACATTCTACTTTTGATTTCAGAAAAGGCAAGTAACCACAGAAGTCGGCGAAAAACTAGCATCAAAATGGGGCATCGGATTCATTGAAACAAGCGCAAAGAACAACGAAAATATCACAGAACTGTTTGAGCAACTATTAGCAAAAGAGAAGAAATGTGTGCTGGCATTAACACCAGCCGATGAAGATGGCAAAAATAGTTCTAAAAAGAAGTGTTCGCTCATGTAGTGTATATTGTATTCAGTGGTGTTGCTTATGATAAAATTTTTCGATAGATACTGTACAACAAACTAATTAAAAAAACCTAAATCATCAATTTTAATAACAACCAAATATATACTAAAGATAAAAAATAGATGGCATGAAAATAACCATCAAAGAAGCAGCGGTTTCTGTAGCCATTAAAAACAATTTTTCTAAACTCTCCTACAGCAATACCAATTGTTAGGCGTTTTTCAAAAAACTTAATTACTTTATTTTTCCCTTTTCTCCAGATGCCAAATAAGTTTCGTAAAAACAATAAACATTACAAACGGCCTACAACGTTTTGTTTTAAAGATACCAGTAAAAACTGCTCTATTCCCATGGGTCTAAAAGTGATTAGGTTTAGTTTCATGGAATCATGAGCCACTTTTGAACTAAACCCAGTTTAGAAAATTGTCTAGGCATGCCCTATCAAGACTAAAAATGTTCATCTCACAGAACGATCCTGGGTAACGGAATTCAAAAATTGTGACATTACTAAACTACTTTCTCCTCCCAACTTTGCTTACTCCTCCAAATTGACCACAGCCTAGCCACTTCAGGAGAAACCTCAACACCATAATCTCCACCAAATAACGTTCGTTTTCTTTCAAAAACAGAAACAAATCCCCAAAATTTGTAAAAAAACTCAAAATAACGTAGAAGTGTTTGTTCACGTAATGTATATAAATGCTTCCAGTAAAACTTTGAGCCGTAAAAAACACCTAACAAGTTGATCTGTTCCTAAAGAGCTGCTAGTTTAAAGTGTCTAACCTTCCTTGTAACACTGTAAAGCTCACTCAACCCTCCCGAGTCTTGCAAATCAATTATTCAGTAGAACATTCGCAAAAAAAAAGCCACTTCAAAGGTTTATGCAACTGACATGCAGTCCTCCTCCAAATGCTTAAGTTTTATACTCCCAACAATAAGACTTCCGGAAACACCCAGAATCACAAAAAAATAGATATAAACAAGCAAAAACAGTGCAAAACTAAATATTAATTGCGCAGGACAAGTATTCATGCCGCACCATGACGAGAGTTCAATAAAAGAAAAGTCCCAACAATCATTCAAGAAGTAGAAACCCGATATCTACCGAATACAATTTCTTGGGCGAAAGATAAAATAAATATGTAGAAGTATGATAACTAGATCAAGAATGGTACATCCAAAGTAAAAATAATGATGAATTTTATTAACTTTGAAACTGAAAACCCGTATACATTTCATAGAGGGAAATAAATATTCACAACTGAAGAAAATTCTACTACTCTACACAACTAAACAAAAGATTCTGTCCAAATTAAAAATAATTGGCACAAGATTCATGCACAATAAAACAATAAAAGAAATGACGTACAACAAGCTTACACTAAAAAACATTTCAATATTACCCGGAATGCGAAATAACATTATCTGAAATGGTACTAAGGTAACATACGCAAAAAAGAAATTCCTTTACAGAGAAAATACTTAACATCAATGAGTACAACAAATATAAGCAAAACTGATAAAATCTCAACATTCAAAACAATTCGAAAGCGCCTGCGTCAAAATACACAAATACTCATATAAACGATGCCTATTTACCCGTGCAAGCCAACCATCCTGAATTCAACCGCAAAAAGCCAAAAGCGCAAAAACATCAAATCGTCTAAAATCCAACAAAACAGCAGAGCAAAGTAAACTGTCCAAATGGTTTTACAGCAAAAAGCGATGACTATCTTGTCTACTACCTCAAATACGCAACATCTTGATACTTGTAGTTTCCAAAAAAGACAAATTTATGACACTTCAAAAGAAATATTCTTAAAACCTATATGATCAATAATGAATTATAAGTAGCAGAACCAAAATATGTACTTACAGTTAGATGTGAGCTGGAGGTAATGAGTGCATATACATCTGTTCATAGTGGTAAGTACATGTACTAAAACTTCAGTAGTCTTTCTTCTTTGAAAACTAAATTCTAAAAATTATCATCCAATTACTCCATTTTTCTATGCAGCCGTGTAATACACAGCGTAATCAAATTTAGCTGAATTCAGAGGACAGCAAAAACAATTCAATCGGAGCTATTTCTATTCATCGCCAAAAACGTCACCATCAAAACGCAAACGTCTGTCGGCAACTAGTCTCCGAAACATGATAATAGCATATGCAAGCAACGCTATAGCAACGAAGAAGTCGTCGATAAAGCCAAAGATCCCGTATACTGCTTCCGGCAATATGTCAAAAGGAAAAAGAACATATATCAAAATTCCTAGCAAGCAAAACATCACACGAATGCGGAACATTGTCATGATTCCGTTAACTGAGAATAGAAACCGTAACATGTAGGGTATCATGACAGGAATGTCGCGAATGTAATCCAGCAGCTAGAAAAATAAAGCGAATTTCAAGTACAAGAGGAGTAGCAGCTTAACAGTAGGATACAAATATTTTAATTAAAAAAAACTCTTTGTAACTTTCAAGCTAAAAAAATCAAAATTTCATGAATTCAATCCGCATTGAAACATCTGAGAAAAACGGCAGCAGAAAAATACAAAAAAACAGAACTAAACA